TGGCTGGCGCCTTAGCCGGTTGAGCTATGGGAGCCGAGCCACAACACTTTTTAAGACCTAGTTTTTTTTGTCTTTTTTTAAAATTAAGTCAAATACACATAGATCATGAATATATTCATGCGTATGTGGGGTACAATGTGCTGATTTTTTTTTATACAATCTGCCGTGGTTACATTAAACCAATCAACATAGCTTTCACCTTTTACTTGATTATTGTGCCAAAACATTTATGTTCTACACTTCACAGATTTGACTTGTACCCTTGTCATATGCTCCATAGGTGTGGTCCTGCCTTTTATACTCCCTCTGTCAAACCTGCCCCCTCCCCTCCCTTCCCACTCCATTTCTCTCCTTCATCCTGGGCTATAATTGTGTTCTATCTTTCATAAGAGTGTGAGTAAATATAAGTTGTTGTGGCGGGTACCTGTACGTCTCAGCTACTTGGGATGCTGAGGCAAAAGAATTGCTTAAGCTCAAGAGTTTGATGTTGCTGTGAGCTATAAGGCCATGGCACTCTACTGACAGTGACAAACTGAGACTGTCTCAAAAAGAAATAAGTAATGAGTAAATATAAGTAGGTTTCATAGAAGTACTGACTGAGTACATTGGATACTTTTTCCTCCATTCTTGAGACATTTTACTCAGGAGAATATGTTTCAGGTCCCTCCATGTAAACATAAAAGAGGTGAAGGCTTCATCTTTTTAAAGGCTGCATAGTATTCCATGGTATACTTATACCACAATTTATTAATCCATTCATGGGTCAATGGGCACTTGGGCTTCTTCCATGACTTGGCTATTACAAATTGAGCTGCAATGAATAATCTGGTGCAAATATCTTTTTTGCAAAGTGATTTTTGGTCTTTTGGATATACTCTTAGTAGAGGAATTGCAGCATCCAACAGCAGGTCAAATGTTAGATCCCTGAGTGTTCTCCAAACTTCTTTCCAAAAGGAATGTACTAGCTTGCATTCCCACCAACAGTGCAGAAGTGTTCTCTTTTCTCCATATCCACACCAACATCTGTAGTTTTGGGATTTTGTTACATGGGCTACTCTTACTGGAGTTAGATGGTATCTCAAAGTGGTTTTTATTTGCATTACTCTGATGATTAAAGAAGATGAGCATTTTTTTCATGTGTCTGTATACCATGTGCCTCTCTTCTTCAGAGAAGCTTCTGTTCAGGTCTCTTGCCCATAGTGAAATGGGACCACTTGTTCTTTTCTAATTAATAAGTTTGAGTTCTCTGTGAATTCTGGTTATCAGACCTTTGTCAGAAACATAACCTGCAAATATCCTCTCCCTTTCTGAGGGCAGTCTGCTTGTTTTACTTACTGTGTTCTTGGCAGTGCAGAAGCTTTTTAGTTTGATCAGATCCCAGTAATGTATTTTTGGTATTGCTTCAGTTGCCCTGAGGCTCTTCCTCATAATGTTTTCTCCCAGACCAATTTCTTTATTTTATTTTATTTTTTCGAGACTGAGCCTCAAGCTGTCCCCCTGGGTAGAGTGTTGTGGCATCACAGCTCACAGCAACCTCCAACTCCTGGGTTCAAGCAAGTCTCCTGCCTCTGCCTCCCAAGTAGCTGGGACCACAGGTACCCACCACAACACCTGGCTATTTTTAGGTTGCAGCCATCATTGTTGTTTGGCGGGCTGGCTGGATTCGAACCTGCCACCTTAGTTGTATGTGGCTGGTGCCTTAGCCACTTGAGCCACAGGTGCCGAGCCACCAATTTCTTCAAGTTTTTCTCCTGCACTCTTTCTAAGAATCTTTATGGTTTCATGTCTTAGGTTTAGATCGTTTATCCAGTGAGTCAATTTTTGTCAGTGGTGAAAGGTGTGGGCCCAGTTTCAGTCTTCTACAAGTTGCCAGCCAGTTCTCTCAGCACCATTTGTTAAATAAGGCGTCTTTCCCCCAATTTAAGTTTTTTTTGTTTGTTTGTTTTTTGAGACAGAGCTTCAAGCTGTCCCCCTGGGTAGAGTGCTGTCACATCACGGCTCACAGCAACCTTCATCTCCTGGGCTCAAGTGAGTCTCCTGCCTCAGCCTCCCAAGTAGCTGGGACCACAGGTGCCACCACAATGCCCGGCTATATTTTGGTTGCAGCTGTCATTGTTGTTTGGTGGGCCAGAATCGAACCCGCCACCTTAGGTGTATGTGGCTGGTGCCTTAGCCACATGAACCACAGGCGCCAAGCCCCCAATTTAAGTTTTTGATAGGCTTATCGAAGATCAAATGATAAGTGCCTTGGTTCATCTCTTGATTCTCAGTTCTATTCCATACAAGGACCTAGTTTTAAGGCTGGGCTCGGTGGCTGTCGCCTGTAATCCTAACACTTTGGGAAGCCCAGGCATGTGGATTACCTGAGCTCACAAGTTCGGGACCAGCCTGAGCCAGAGCTAGCCTCCTCTTTAAAAAAAAAAAATAGCCCGGTATTGTGGCGGGTGCCTGTAGTCTCAGCTACTTGGGATGCTGAGGCAAAAGAATTGCTTAAGCTCAAGAGTTTGAGGTTGCTGTGAGCTATAAGGCCATGGCACTCTACCGAGGGTGACAAACTGAGACTGTCTCAAGAAAAAAAAAAAAAAGACTCAGTTTTAGTATTTTTTCATTTCTAATCTTTCAAGGGCCTGGGTACCTTGCTCTCCACCCGCATTGGGAGCAGGGTCAGACAGCCCCTCCCTCTGGGGCCACACTGCCCCCAGCCTCTTGCAGCTCCTGGGTGGTCCCCCCACCACCCCAGCGGCCCTTCTGCCTTCGCCATCTGCACTGCCTGGCTCAGACCTCCCCCGCAACGGCCGGAGACCTTTCTACACCCCGTGATCTGCTCACGCAGAAGCTGAGGGTACCGACCCTCTGGTAGGGTACCCTCACCCCCGCAATCTCCGGACAGACTCACGCATCCTACGGGGCAAGTCTGGCGCCCCTCGGGCCTTGTATCCTGGCGGGAGCCGCGCCCTCCGCTGCGCACCCGAACCCTCCACCGCACACCTACGCCCTAGTGTGATTCGAAAGCGCTCCCGGAACAGTCTAAAGTCAAATTTATCCCAACACAGGCTCCTCCTGCGCCGCAGCTGGCGGCCAGGCACCGCCTCTAAGACCCACCGAGGGGGCTGCCCATCCGCTCCCCCTTGAGGAAGGGACACCAGTCCTAGGTGTGATCGCTCCGCTGCTCCGCCTTCCTCGGATCCCGCGGTGTCTCCCCAGGCCTTAGGGGAACCGAGGCTACAGCCGCGTGGCCTCGCTAGCTGCCGCCAAGCTCACAAGGTCAGTTCCTCTTCTGGCCCGCACGCCTTCCCTCCCTCCCCTCATTGAAGCCCTGTCTGCTCCGCCGGGTTCCTCGGGCCCAGGGAAAGCGGAGGGCGCGGGGCTGCGCTGCCCCCTTGCCCTGCCTGTTCCAGAAGAGGAGGAGGCGGAGCCCGGGCGGCGAAGCCCGGACGGTTCCTGGGAAGGTGAGCTCTGGGCGGCCCTCGTTTGTTCGTCTCAGCCTCCGTCAGGTCCCTCACTGGGGCCTCCCAGGGCCGAGCAGCCCTTCTGGAGAATACCCGGGTGGGTCCTACTGGGCGGTGCCTTCCTCTAGTAGGCTCAGCTGGCGGGGGCTCGGTGTATGCAGGGGACGGACACAGGAGCCGGGCAGTGGTGACTGTGGACAGAGGGGCGGCGCGGAGGTGGGACCCCAGGGTTCTGTGAACACGGGAGATAGAAGGGCTCAATCCTAGGACCCCTGCCCATGAAGCACACACGGGGGTCCAGACCTAAAAGGGCCCCACCCGTGCAGGCTCTTTGCTGCTGGGGAGGTTTGTGGAGGATGAGTACGGAAGAGCCTCTGGAGAAGTGAGGAGGGGATAAAGGGCGGGAGACTGAGCCAGCCCAGAGGGGGCCTGAGTCAGCTTTTGCTGCTGACCCTAGACTGCCCACAGGCTCCTCCCAGTATACATACCACCCTTGCCTGGGGCCAGCACTTGTGGGCACTTTGG